TATTATCTTTTCCAGCGATTCTTCTCTTATTATGATGTGACCAAAGTATGATAGCCTCAATTTAGTTAGTCAGCTTAGCTTCTAGGGGCAGTTTTCTAGGTTTTCGAGGTAAGAGTTGGTCAGAAGTGGTTTCTTCTGCACAGTACTAATCATGGTTAGCTGAAGGGGCACTGCTGTTGTCTACAAAAGATCCCCCATCAGTGTCACCTTCCACTACTGCTGCTGTCCAGTAGCTACCCTTCGAGGATTCCTCTGCCCACATCACTCATGTGGCCATTGATCCCTGAAGGGGGTGGCTGCATCTTAGTCTGGTGTCTCAGCTGTGACCATTCCACCTTGAGTGACTCTGCTAGGAGTTTAGACTCTTGACAGTCTAAATTCCTTTACGGTATCGCTCTTAACTTTGCTGACACACACAAACCCCTCCCCGCGTTAAGGTTTGCACCATAAAAAGGTAGGGCATAAATATTTGAAATAAATAGCCCAGGCCTTATAAGCATTAAAGGCATATTAAATTGAGTTCAATTAAATAGTAGAAATGTCTCCTGAAAATTACCTGGGGGCTTGCCCAGTGTTATCTGGCCAAACATTCATCTTTCTTACATTACCTACAGCACGCAGAACATTTCCTAAATTTTTATATATAAAGAATGGCGTGTTCCAGCTGTCCTTCAGATTAGTACTTTAAAATAATGCTGGTCTGACAGTTTTAAAAAAAGACTACTTCACACAATTCATATAAAAATAAGCACACAAATCCCTATGAAACAACAAAATGCAATTAACACTGAATGCCTGTGAACATGTTACAATGTATCCTCAAAGGCTGCTATATTTTCTTTAAGATGTCACAAATTAATTTATGTACATTATATCCCTCACATCATTTTTCCATAACTACAAGCCTCATCATCATTAACATCTTCTCCACAAGTTCAAAGTAATCAGGATTAACATCCTTTAACAGACCCAAAATAGACAGCAAGTCTTTTCTTAAGCTTTAATTGCACAAAAATACGTCATTCAGACTTGATTTGCAGTGAACAAAAGTATCACTAGTCCATTCTTTTTCAATACAAATTGCAACAAAAGATCCTGAATTTGAGGCATTTGCTCTTATAATGTTGTGCAAGAGACATCTGAAATTATATAGAATAGTAGAAATGAAGCAAAAACTTTTACATGAAAGACAGTTTGCCCTAACGGGGTAGATGAAACAAAAGTCTCAGTATAAATGGGTGCACAGACAACTGTTTTCCATTTACTCCTTGTGGGAGTAAAATACTTCTATACGAATTATATTGTTACTTCATAGGGAGATAAGCGGCTGTGAGCTCTTTCTGCTGTTGCCCAATACGGGAAGAAGTTATTCCACATTCCCAAGCAAAATATGTGAAGGATGCTGCTTTTAAAAAGGGCACTCCATCAAATCCTATCTGCCCATGAGGTAGTAGCATGTACACTCCCCCCCCCCATTTCTCCCTCAAGCATCTCATGAGAAACAGCAAGAAAATACTGCTGAATCTATAGCAGTAGTTCAGCTCCAGACTACTGTTGGTCAAATGCACACCCAAGAGCAGTAGCATATCCACAGGAAAATGTCAGCATGAGCTCACTGCAATACTAGGACAAGATTTTTAAATAAACTGAATGCCATTCCACCTTACAAGTGAGAGAACCTTTTGGTCTGTTTGAAAGCAAGCTGCAAGGCATATGAAAACAGATGCTCTGGTGAAGTATTTGATACAAACAGTGCTGCTATTCCACCTTACAAGTGGGAGAACTTTTTGGTCTGTTTGAAAGCAAGCTGTAAGGCATATGAAAACAGATGCTCTGGTGAAGTATTTGATACAAACAGTGCTGGATTAATCATTTTTAGATGAGTAATTCCAGTCCATTTTATTTTTCATAGGTGGGGGAAAAGAATATAAAAGAATGCATGCTCCTTGAGAGTCATATTCCTATTTCACACTTCTCTGCTTCAGCTTACCAGAGGTAGAACCTGGCAGTATTTACATGCTTGAAAACTTTCAAGCAAGGGCTTGTGAAGAGCATCATAAAGATGTTGGGAATTTCCCTTCTTAAAAAGTTAACAGGTTTGGCTTTCGACTTCATCTAATTAAACCCAGTCTGCAGCATAATTTGTTGTGTGCTAATCAAAACACAGGAAGAGCAGATCTGAAGCAGGCTAGTTGGAGCTTGCACTGCGAGGAGACTAAACTGATACAGGCGTGTGGATTTACTAGCTGGACCTGCCTGTTATAGCAGATAGCAAACTACTTTGTTAGCATTTTCTTTCCCTTCAGGGACATTCATTGTGATTGGGAATGGGATGATGATGAAATGGCAAGTACCTACCATGTCTAATTCATGTGCACCTTTAAAGGTGGTATTATCAGGCCGGTGAAGTATATATCTAGTTATCACAATCCCACTGGAAATGTTAAGAGTTTCATCAAGAATTATTTTTCAGTCTCAAGAAACATCAATGTAAGAAACACATAATTTGTTAGAAGTGATGCATATTTTTTCCAAGCTGTAAGTGGATAGATTGGAACAGAGATACACACTTCTATTTCTTGTGTCAGTGTACTCATGGAAAGAAAAAAATGGTGCAGAACCTCAAACAATAGATACCTATCAAGTAGGAGACCCACAAGGCCTTCCTGGGGACATCTCATTTTCCCCCACAGGTATGCTGGCAAAAAATAGAGGTCATCTTACATTTGCATACAAGCCACAGTTATGTCCAACTCTAACCACTACACCACACTGGCTTTTGTGTGCTGGCTGCTGTTGCAAGACATCAGCCTGCCAGTGATTGCTGCAGTTCCTGGCCCCAATGAGTCCTCCATCAAAGGCCAAAACAGGCCTGGAAAGGGTCCTGCCCATCTGTCTGCCTTTTACTGACAGAAACCAAGACTAGAAGGCTGGTAATATTGTTGTGGGTGCCTAGCAACCCTCACAAGTGCCAATGGAGAGAGAAATTTTTTTAAAGGTGTAGCATGCTGCTTCTATTATTTTGCAGTTTTTAACCCAGCCCCCGCCCCATGTAAGTAAGCAAGCAAGATCCAGCCCTGCTCAGATGCTGTGGGGAGGGTCATTATAGTGACAGACCCCCTTCAGTGCTTCCCAACCCCATTTAGTGGGGTTCAGAGCCTTTCCTTCCAGTAGACTGCCACCACCTTCTGATCCCTGCAACCTTCCTTAGTTTGTTGCCAGGAAGAGCATCAAACTGGGGGGGGGGGGTGTCTTTGTAGCACAAGCGGCAGCAAGGCAATGCTTTCTCTTAACTAGAACACTTTATTCTACAGGCACAATTCCAGAGTTAATGCATATTACAGGACTAGGATGCAGACTAAGAAATGGAAAGACTGCTAACCTACTTAAAAGTTACGAATCCTAGCCTCTGATTACATTGAAGAGAAGAAGAAGAGAAGAGATTGGATTTATACCCCACCCTTCACTTGGAGTCTCAGAGCGGCTTACAAACTCCTTTCCCTTCCCCTCAATGTGTGAGTAACTGCCACATCCATAAAGTTTCCAGGCATTCTTTACTTTTACACCATTCTCTGAAATGTATTCTTCAGCATTCTAGAATAGCATTCAACTCCTGAATGATAACTGAGAGCCAAACAGCATGTTACAGCAGCCATGGGTCCAACCTGTTCCTGTTGACACAATTCTTGAGGAAAATGTCGCTTTTTAAAAAACAGCTACAAGGGCCTCATCCTGATTGGGCCTGTGCTACAGTGGCACCAAGTGATCTTGTTTCCCTTGTGCATGCCTTTTCCAGTGCTGATGCAGCCATAGGGAGGGGCTGTTTCACCACTTTAAAATATATTGAGGGGGGGGGGACAAGATTGTCTGTTGCCGCCAGTGCCACTTGCAGCAATTTTTAAATGGCTAAATTCTCCTCTAAAATGGCATCAGTGGCTACAGGTTGACCCTGTGGCCACAGTCACTTATAGTTTGGCCCTGATTCATTAGCAAAGAGGTATTAAGCTCGGTTTACAAACTGGGAGGCCATTTCATTGATGAAATAAGTCTCACTGGCTCTGAGGCAAGTATGGTGCCTCAGGCAGTGTTCTGGGCTTAGCTTCAGGATTCCCAGGTTCACATTCCTACTTAACCATAAAGCTCCCTCTGTGGGGGCAGCAGTCTTCAACAGCTAGTGAACTACCAGCAGCTCACTAGCCGCTACAGAGTAGCTCATACATTCTCTAGAAGGTGCAGGAAAAGATAAAACAATCAACCCTAGGATATTTTAAAACTTTTATTTCATAGCATTTTTCTCTGTGCTGCTTTCCTAATTGCTCCCCCCCCCCCCCCCCCCCCAAAAAACCATGTTCTGTTTCTGGAACAGAACAGAACTTGGTAAGAAGCAGCTCTCATTAAAGAAAAAGGTGGTGATCTCTGGTGTGTGGGGGATAAACAGGTTAAGAATTTTTGCATATTTTGTACACTGAGAAGCGATGTAGAAATGATAAGCAGCTTAAGTCACAGATGTAGGAAGGATGATTCACTGAATTAAGGTATAAGAATTTGAGAGAGATTCACAGATACAGCATTCTAAAGGATTTCTTTCTTCCCAAAAACATTTATTGAGGAAAAAAGTGGCAAATTCCCAAACTGATACTTGCAGATAAATCTGTACATGTTTTCACTGCCAGTTCTACTTGGCAGCAACTATACCACAAGAGTTAGGAGCAAATCCACAATCAAACTACACCAATGCAGCTAAGGCAAAACGGTCTCATTTTACCAAACCAAGTAATAATTCCTGATTGGCAACAAAGTGGCTGATGAGAAAGGATATGATACCACTCCAGAACAGACTCCTCCCACCCAGTGTTCCCTGTAAGCTGAGTTAGTGTGAGCTAGCTCACAGTCTTTTAGCCTCTGGTTCACACATTTTTGTCTTAGCTCAGGAAGGATGGCTTCAGAGCAAACTAATTTATGCAGCAGCCAAATCGCTCGCTCACAACTTTAATGCCAGTAGCTCACAAAGTAGAATTTTTGCTCACAAGACTCCACAGCTTAGAGGGAGCATTGTCCTCACCCCCTTTTCAGCTACTGCAGATGTGCAACTGGATCCAAATAAGGAATCTAAGTTATTGTGTCTTATGTAGCACAACCCTCTAGCATCACTATTATTGCTATTACATAGGTTTTTTTTTTAATTGTTGTAACAGCTTCCAAATGTTGCAAACAATTTTTTTTTAAAGTAAGGAGCCTTGGAAGCTGACTTTAAAAGCCACAGCAGACCTCTGCAAGCAACATAAACAACACTGAGGGCTGTGAACACGTTACAAAGGTATTGTCTGGAGTTCTAAGCTTCCAAGGCACGTGCCCATTTCATCACTATGGGCACACAGCAAAAGGGTGCTTAAGGCTCTCCCTGTTACCTTTTTCTTAACCTGAAATGGCCTTGAGGAGACAGTACTAGCCCTGTTGGGAAAACCTACATGTACCAATGGCCCCAAATTGCCCCAACAGGGCAAACAGCAGCTCCCTGGAGCCATTTCAAGTGGAGAAAATGGCATTGGGGGGAGGCTTAAGCACCCATGTTCATCTCAGCCCCAATCCAAATAAGACCCTAGCACACCCGTAAGACACAGAATTCCAGAAAATATATTTGTAACATGTGAATCAACTGTGGTTTTGGAAAGCAGAAAAAGGGGAGTAATGTGTGATGAAGTTTCAAGGTTTATCAGCATAGCTGTGACTCTCTACATTGCATCTCCTTGTTCATCACAAAACTGAAACTTGGCAGTTTTGGGAGCCAGAGAGGACCTCTTCCTACATCCTTACCCCTTTTGTTCTGGAATATTTAAGATCAACTCAAAACAAGAAATGAATGTTTCCAGAAAAAGATGCTACTTGGTCGGTGGGGTGGGGATGATGCAGCTAACATCCTTTGGTATCTATTCCAGATATTGGGGGTGGGGTAGATATTTGTTATGACCTAAAAGAAAGAAAGAATTCTTTTTTTACTGTTACTGTTCATTCAACCCAGTGGTCTCAAACAGCTACTGAAAGTTTATGTTTAAGCAACTAACAGAAAGCTGCCCATATAATGGGTGTCATGCAGCTGGCAATTAAGAAACGTTTTACCTTGCCAACAACTGCACAACATTTAAACAGGAAAAAGCCCTATTTAACTCGTAGGGTAAATTGTATGGGCCCAATGGAAAAGACAACTTAAGATTCATAACAACCATGCTCAAAATATTTGGGCACACAGCTACAAGCCCTGAAGCCCAAGAAGGGTGCACACCTCTCCCCCCAAAAAACTGTAGTTTCATAACAAAATTATCTACAGACTACCCAGCTGGTTTATATTCCTACCGTGAAACATTCTATTACCTGGCTGTAACTTGATTTAAAGTCTTGTTACAATGCAGTTTTGTAACTGACCATATAGCAGTCTTATTCCTACCTCTAGCAGATTTGACATTGGCCATTACCACAGGGAGTTGCCATCTCCCCCAGCCCCTCCCAAGCACAGGGATAAACCTGAGCATGCATTTCAAGTATGCACCTGGCAGATGCTTCTTACCACTGAAGGAAGAGTTGTTCACAGTATCCAAGGTGCTTTCAAGAACTGTAGTAACATTTCAGAACAAGAGAAGTATTATCCCCCGAGAATGAGAACAAGAATCTGAGAAGTCTCTCCACCACTGCTTTCTTCCCCACTCTTAAGCAATATGAACCATATATTCTCCTCAACCATTAAGTGCCCTTTCTGCCTCTAATAGAAATATCAACTATCCTGGCAACCAATACTTTCTTGCATGTCATCCCCTCTTCAGGAGTGTAGCTCCTAAACATCTGCAACAAGATTTGTTTCACTGAAGACTGGCTCCCCAAGCATCTAAGCCATTCCCTCCAAAACCTCTGCGGTAACTCTTAGACTGCTGCCAAGTATAGCGATTTCAGTGTGTTGAAGAGGCTGAGAGAACCAGTTTGGTGATGTACGGGAAGAGGTCACCTAACTTTACCTGTAAGGGAGAGAAAAGACAGTGCAAACGCCAACTGTCACCATCTCCAAGAATGTTTTATTTCGTCCTTGCCCAACAGTCACTTAAAACCACAACCCCCACTCCCTCCCAACTGTATCCAATAATAGTTCAGAAACCTCTTTGTTGTTTGGTGTGTTGTATTTCCCTCCCTTCCCTTAGGGGCCAATTCCTATAAGAACACTTCATTTGGCAGGTCAACTCTGAAGTGGCTCTGAACAGTCATCACTGGGTCTCTGTGTTGTTCTGCTGGGGTTTCAAAGATGAGACACTTGCCCTCTCCCCTTACTCAATCAGCTTCTTGGCCTTGAAGAAGCGACGCAGGTAGAAGACCTGCCAAGTAGCCAGTCCAATGAGGCAGAACATTGAGAAGATGCTGAAGTACAATACCCGGATGTTGGTTGACTCTGAAACAAAAAACCCCAAAAACTCATCACTTGAAAGTAACATCAAGAATCTCAAACCCTTTCACCTAAATTCTACAGACGGATCTAGTACTTCTTCATTTGAAGCACTGACACAAGAACTAACATGCACCCAAATAGGTGGCAATGAATGGAGAAAGGTATAATGCAGACAGTGCCTACAAAAGGCATCAGTGTTGAGAAGTGCAGCCTCTCTGCCTGGCATGACAACTTGCCCCCTCCATTATGGCACCCAACTCCATTCTGCAATTCCTTTTGCCACTCTCATACATTCCCCTCTTGCCCACCACAATACTCAGCAGGAGCATACACTCCAGACTTTACCAATAGTTCTCACAGACAGCAAAAATATTTATGCAAGGGAATATATTTATAAAATCTATTACTTTGCCCATTTTATGTCAGATATAGAATCTTAATTCTCTTGTATGATCAGCTTTGATAGTATGCAGTAAGAAGACGACATTGGAATTCAACTGAGAACAGAGAAAAGGAACTGAGCAGTCTGTAGGTGGATAAGTAAAACACGTTAGGACCAATCAGCATAGTAGCCAAGTGGTATCAAATATTTACAGTGGTGAAGCTACAAAAAAAGTTGAAAGATGATACATCTAAAGACAAGTGGATTATTGCACTCATCTAAACAACAGACCTAACATCCAGTAGGCATTATGACAAAAGTCCCTATCTCCAACGGGGATGCACACAAGTACTTACCATTGGTGTCCCGCATCTCCTCCTCCCGCTGCTTCATGTAGGCAAAGTCATTCACAATTGACTCTGAAAGATCTTCTAGGCGCCGTAACTCCAGCTCCAGGGGCTTCAGCTTCTCCACTTTAGCAATCTGGCAAAAAAAGAGACAACTGAGGCAGAAGGTACCAACCACTAGAACCGTCTCCCCTGCCCCTTCCCTATGATATGACAATCAGGGATAGTATAATGGTATTATACTACTATGTAGCCAAATTCTTTTTGCCCTCACTCTCAATGGGTGCAGTTGGTCAACAATCCCCTTTTGCTGTATTAAACTTAGTCTCACATGATGCCATGACAGGATGATCATGACCCAAAAACCATAGATCACTGGTAGAAAGAAAGTAGCACACAACACAAATCAGTAACATTATGAACCTGCCTTATACTAAGACAGATCATTCAGCTCAGTACTGTCTACTAGTACTGGCCTCCCCCCTGCATGGTTCCATCGTGCACAGTTCCTTCTTGTCCACACACCTCCTGCAGTTACCATGTACTACACATACGTGGAGTTGATCTAGGAGTAGTTGTTTTTAATTAGCGCCATTAATTGGTACTTGATGCTATTATTAACTAAGGTTATATTGGGTTTTAATGATTGTTGACATTATGTTTATTATACGGTATAATTTTATTTATTGTTGTAACCCACCCTGAGCCTTGCCATGCAGGGGAGGGTGGGCTAGAAATAAAATAAATAAATAAATAAAATGCTCTGATTGGCAGCAGCACACCAGAGTCTCTGGCAGAGAAAGGTCTTTCTTGGCCCTTGCTACGCAAGAAGCCCCTATAACAAGAGGTGAAAGGTGCTGAACCTGGGATTTTCTGCATGCAAAGTATGTGCCGTATCATACCATGCCTCCACAAATGGTGCCAGGAACACAAGAGATATGATTGTGTTGCATGTAAGGATTAAAGGTGGCCCCAAGTTCAAAAAGGTTCAAGACCACTGTTTATAAATTACAGCCAAGTCCCAGGATTTTCTACAGTGCACAGGAAGTATTCTACTTGATAATCCTGATCCCACCTTCCAGTGTCTTTCCAATGAATTGAAAAGGCACTGAGATGATCCACAAGCAAAGTATGGAGTGATTTCCTGCTTAATTTCCCTCTGTTGCATGTGCTAACCATAGAAGGAGAAGAGGGAGGATAGCTGTATGTCCCTCCTTTGACAAAGCTGGTTTGCTCCAGGTTGCCATGGCTACCTCATTTTCCTGTCTAGTGGAGTGGGCAGTCATTTTCTGGAGTTGTGGGCACACTGTATTTATTTTTCTAGCTTAAGGACTCCTTGGTGGGCACTTTTTATTCTAATTCAAATGTTATTTTTCACTGATAAGTGAATTTAAAACATATCCATATATTTGAATCAATGTTGAAAGGTGTGGCTGTCAGTCCAAGAGAAGTTTTTGCATGTGGCTCTTGCTCCACTGCAACAGCTTTGCTCATCCAAGCAAAGCCCTCCTGTAAAGGGCAAAGGACAACAGTGGCCCATACTGGCACGTTCTCCGTTGTGCCTCCCACCTGGCCAAATAAGGTCCAGAAGGCCTCCCCCCCCCCCATTTCCCCACACAATGTGTAAAGCAAGATAGTTCTGTAGGGCATTTTTACAAAGGGAATAAGAGAATTGTGGCATAACTGAATTAGTCAGAATGGCATTTTTTAAAGAAAGGAAACAGGGTGGAAGTAAAACAGAATTGTGGGGGAGGAGATTTTTATAAAATGTTCTAATTTTAATGTCTGAGATTTTTAGGCAGTTTTCCTTTATTCTTGTATTGTTTATTATATGTCTATGCTAGCTGTACTGCACTGTTTTCTAATTTTGCAGTCCAGATTTTTTGTTTGTGCTGTTTATAACATGTATTACACATTTTTATTGCCATTTGTTGCGCCTATTTACTATTGTTTCATTGCACTGTCTTCTTATTCTGTAATCCACGAGTCTCCGTGAAAAAAGGGGTCCATAAATGAAGTAACGACAACAATAGTCACAGAAAAAGCCAGTCTCATATGCCTAAAAAAACCACTGGGAAAGCCAACGTGATAATACAGTAAAGAGTTTAGAATGTTCAGATTCAAAACAGAAGACAGGTTAAGGTTTCAGAGCAAAGAAACAGAGCAATTGAAGATACTGGTTATCATATACAAGCCTTTCATGGTCTCGGTCCCTCATATCTGCAAGACTGCCTCCCCCCAATGCTCCAAGACCACAGCTTTGCTGCTCATCTGAGCAAGGCCTCCTGCATGTGCCAACCTGCAAATGGGCAAAATCAACAACTGCCTGTACACCTGCATTTTCCATAGTGGCCCCCAGCTTATGGTCAGGAAGGCTCCCACTATCCTGGCCTTTTGCAAACTATGCAAAACTGAATTATTCAAGAGGGCTTTTCTACAACAGGTAATCGGGCTGTACTGTAACAAAATGGCTCAGATAGATACTTCAGCTGTAGTCTACTTCGTACTGTCTGTTGCTGTAAATAGGATCCTACTGTGTAATTTTTGCACCATTTAACAAATCACATTAAAACTTATGCTATGCTTTAGTTCTGTTTTCAGATTTCTGGTTGGTTACAGATTTCTACTATCCAAATCCTATTGCATTGTTTATTGGCTGTCCTGTGCTGTTGACTGTATTGACTTTCCTTGTGTAATTCATCTTGAGTTCCAGTGAGAAAGATGGACTCTGTGTAAGTGTGGTGTGTGTGTGTGAAGATGCTTCTGACTTATGGAAATCCTATGAATTAATGGCCTCTAAAACACCCTATTATTAACAGCCTTGCTCAAGTCACCAAACTGAAGGCCGTGGCTTCCTTGATTGAGTCAATCCGTCTCACGTTTGGTCTTTCTCTTTTCTTGCTGCATTCAACTATTCCTAGCATTGTTATCTTTTCCAGTGACCAAAGTATGATAGCCTCAGTCTGGCCACTAGGGAGAGTTCAGACTTGATTTGGTCTAAAACCCACTTATTTGTCTTTTTGGCAGTCCACAGTGTAGAAAAAATTCTCCGTCAACACCATATTTCAAAGTAATCCATTTTACTCTTTCAATTTTCTTTACTGTCCAGCTTTCACATCCATACATAGTAATGGGAAATACTACAGTATCAATTATCTCGGTCGCCAGTAACACACACTTGAGGATCTTTTCTAGCTCCTTCGTGGTTGCCCTTCCCAGTCACAACTGCCTTCCAGTTTCTTCATTGCTGTCTCCCTTTTGGTTGATGATTAAGCCAAAGAACAGAATTTTTTTTAATAGGGGAGTTTTTTATTTTTTTGCTTTTTCTACACACTACAATTATAGGATGGGGGAAGGAATACTAATACTCTAACACTATTATTATGGGTTATGGGTAAAGGAAATCTAATACATATATCTACTTGATAGGGGAAAGAAGACTAGCATTCTAATCTATATCATCTACTGGATTTGGGGAAAGGGTAAAGACTAATACATGTCACGATCTGAGTAGTTGAAAAAAATAATGCTTTTTAACCTACTATTACACGTTATATCAAGGTTTGATTCAATTATGATAGTATACATTTAATAGCTTAACACAATTACTGCCTTAGTTCTAGAGTCTTTTCTTCTTGCATTTCTTTGTTTTCTGGAGTTTAGGGGCAGCTTCTCCTTTCTCCGATTCAGATGATTCTGATGATGTGGAAGTTTGGCTTGTTGAATTCTGTGAATAGGATTCTTCTTCTTCTTCTTCCTCCCCATCCGGTTTTAAATTATTTTCCTTCTGCTTCTTTTTTGTGTTGAACATTTGATCCATAAATTTTTCCGCTTTTGGAACAGAGTCAATTTTATATTTTTTGTCCTGGTAATTAAAGCTCAGCCCTTCTTGGGAATAGCCATCTATATGGTATTCCCTTTTTTTGCGGAGTGAGAGTAAGCATCCTGTAGAGTTTCCTCCGTTTTCTAACTTCGAAGGGGATGTCTTTCAAAATTTTTACATCTTCATTCTTGATTTTTAAGGATTTTCCCATTGTTGACTTTAGCACGAGTTCTCTGGTCGATCGTTTCGTGAATTTTAGGTAAATTTCCCCTGGGAGTTTATTTTTCTTTACAAAGTCCGGATAAGTCCTATAAGCCACATCCATCTCTTTTATTAAACCACTCTTTTATTAATACTCTCAGTCTTTTTTTCATCTTTTTCAATGCTTTCTCAGTTGCTGCGGTTCTCTTGTCCATCTGCTTTAACTGTTTTTGCACATTATCCAGTTTGGTGTTGAGAGTAGTCATCTGATCCATTAGAGGGCGCAGTGCATTTGCTAACAACAAAAAGAAGTCTGTAGATGCTTCCTGGTTCTGGGAGGGAGTCATTGGTATGTTATTTCCAGTCACCAGCTTTCCCCCCGGTGCTCTCCATCCTCTCCCAGCCATAATATCAACAAGAAGTAAGTTTTCCAAAACAAAGCAAAAGTTATGTGTTTTAATTCCGCTTCATATATTTTAGCAGCTTTTGCATTCGCTTAGCTTCTTATATGCTTAGTTTGGCTCGAAGTCTCTTTATTTTTGCTTTAAAACCGTTTTTACAGTTTACTCATATGGGGGGGGGCTTGAAATCTCCTCCCCCCGTGCTTCAAACTTCCAATTACTACCAAGGCTTATTCGCTTATTTTTCACCTGAGTTTTGCTTAACTCACAGTTTGTAGCCTTGGAGATCTTTTGGAAGTCTTTTTAGTAGTTCAGTTGTGATCGCTTGCTCCGGCAGTCGTCTCTGGGCACCATGCTGGCTCCGAAGCGACGGTACCTATCAGGGAAGAAGGTGAGCCTCAGTTCCTTGGGCTCCCCTTGGAAGAGGCTCTCCTCTGCTCCCCAGGCTGGGGTCTCTTATAGAGACCCTGGGGAGGTCCGGGACGAACTTGGACCCCTCCCGTCAGCCGGGTTTCGGCGCGTCTCCATCAGAGCGAGACGGGACGCGACCAAGCGGAGAAACGCTTAAACCGGAACAGAAAATCTTGAACAATTTCAATTTCTTCATCGTCAACCTTAGAATTGTATAAATCCTCAGCAGTTGTTACTTTTTGTCTCCTCTGTAATCCTGCTTTGGCACTTTCTGTTTAACTTTCAGCAACAGTCATTTTAAGTCTTCACTGTTTTCAGCCAGTAATGTGGTATCATCTGCATATTTCAATGTTCTTTGCATCAACTTTCACTCCAGTTTCAGTTAAATCTAATCAAATTTCCTTATGATACATTGTGCATACAGACTGAAGAGACAGCAAGATAAAATGCATCCTTGTCTGACACCTTTGCCATTTTGTTTCTACATATTCTGTCCTAACTGTAGCCTCTTGTCTACTACAGGTTGTACATCAAAACAATAAGATGTGGCACACCCATTTCTTTCAAAACCAACCATAACTTTTCATGATCCACCCACAGTGGCCTAGAAATAACGTAAATAAAATAAATACGGAAATGAAACACAAGACAGTAAATTTACTACAGCAATAGCTGTTTGTTGTAGGGCCACAAGGGGGCAACCAAACCTCAGCAATCACAAAAGTTACAGGAGAGTTTTATAATTTGAATCGAGGCGGTACGGCGTTTGACACCCTCGACCATCAGCTACTGATCCACCGCCTCCCCGACACTGGGATTCAGGGACTTGTCTTGCAATGGCTTGTCTCCTTTCTCCAAGGTCGGGGACAGAGGGTGGCGCTAGGGGAGCAGACATCCCAGAGGTACCCGCTGGCCTGTGGGGTTCCTCAAGGGGCGGTACTGTCCCCGATGTTATTCAACATCTACATGTGCCCCCTCGCCCAGATTGCCCGGAGGGATAGGCTAGGGTGCCATCAATACGCAGATGACACCCAGCTATATCTGCTGTTGGGCGGTCAGTCTGACTCTACCCCAGATGACCTGGAGCGGGCCCTTTGTGACATGGCGGGCTGGCTTAGACTGAGTCGACTGAAATTGAATCCAATGAAGACGCAGGTCCTGTGCCTGAGTCGGAGTGGACCTGGGATAGGGATCCCACTCCCAACCTTCGACAGGGCACTATTGGTGCCAGCGCTGAGGGATAGGAGCTTGGGAATGATCCTGGATGCCGGCATAACAATGGAGGGCCAGGTAGCAGCCACTGCCAAGGCGGCCTTTTACCATCTGTGGCTGATTAGGCAGTTGGTTCCCTTCCTCAAACGCGATGACCTGGCAACAGTGATTCATGCTATGGTCACCTCGAGATTAGACTACTGCAACGCTCTCTACATGGGGCTGCCCTTAGATCTGGAAGCTGCAGCTAGTGCAAAATGCGGCTGCCAGGCTGTTGATGGGTCTCTCTATATGAGACCACATCCAACCTGTGCTGAAGGCACTGCACTGGCTGCCAATAGCTTACGAGATCCATTTCAAGGTGCTGGTTTTGACCTTTAAAGCCCTATATGGTCAGGGGTCTGCCTACTTGAGGGACTGTCTTTTCCCACATGTGCCCCAGAGAGCACTGAGGTCAGGAACACAGAATCGCCTGACTCTTCCTGGCCTGAGAGACGTCAAGTTGGCTGCTACTAGAGCCATGGTCTTTTAAGTGGCGGCTCCATACTGGTGGAATGAGCTCCTGGATAACATCAGGGCCCTGCGGGACCTCTTACCGTTCTGCAGGGCCTGCAACACGGAGCTCTTCCACCAGGCTTTTGATTAGGAGCCGCCGCTGATGAATGGGCCACTGGCGAATGCACCACCGGAATACATCTCGGCCCGCATGAAACATTGGTTGGTTATTGCCTCTGTTTGTATATTGCACGCCGCCATCATCAACATCATTATTAGAACTGTTTAGTTACTCAGACAGTTGTATTTATACCCTATTGTATTTTAATGTATTTATTGTTTTAGTGTTTTAATGTTGTTAGCCGCCTTGAGCCAGTTTTGTGGCAAGGCGGGATATAAATGGGAAAAATAAATAAATAAATAAATAAAGCAATTTTACAGTACATCTTTTCAGTAACAACCCTTACATATTAGTGCCAAAGAATAAGAAAACTGCCTAAGCAGCTACAGACATAACTGTGGCAAGCAAAATCTGATTGTTTCTGGAAACGCTACAAGTGTCAGCATAGCATAGCTTCCCCCCCAAAAAAAGCATGAAATAACCAGAGTTTCTGGGTAACCCAGATAGTCAGGGCAAGCCCAATCTCATCAGTTCTCGGAGGCTAAGCAGTGTGTCTGACAAAGGGAGTTTTGACTCTTGAAAGCTTATACCCTGAAACTCTTGTTGGTCTCTAAGGTCCTACTGGATTCAAATCTAAATATATCTTCACGTTCCTTATGCACATGTAGGTCTGAGTGGACACAAAGGGATGACCTCCATCTATCCAGGATGTGATAAATGCTTAGGACTACTTTATACATGATTTCTTCTCTAACAGAGATGACCTCGTCATAGACATACGCATACCATCATCTAAAAAGGGAGAGAGGGAGGAGGAGGAGGAAGAGACTGGATTTATACCCCGCCCTTCACTCAGAGTCTCAGAGCAGCTTAAAAACTCCTTTCCCTTCCCCTCCCCACAACAGACACCCTGTGAGGTAGGTGTACAAAGTCTGCTGTGACTACACAGTTTTGGAAGCTACTGTGGCTGACCAACCCAAGCAGTCAGTGCAAATCAAACACACACCATATTTCAGTCCTGGTAATGGCCAACATCAGGGACCTGGCACTGTCAAGCAGATGCCAAGGCTCTGCCACCCTGGGAGGGCTCACCATCGCCAGTTCAGAACCAACCAGTGCCATGAAGTTTTAGCAGTCATCACTGCCTGCCATCTCTGCAGTAATGAGAACTGGATCCCCCTCCCCCTTTGGACTGCTCCACTTCCACCTTACCTGTTGGCACTGGTAGTAGTGGGGGGGGGATTCACTCATCCACTCTCATGGACAAGTGAGCAATGGCAATAAGGACCTTTCCACTTGTGCAACAGGTGGAGGGCAAGGAGTAGAAGCAGACAGAGGCTCTTTGTTGCCATCACTGCTTGCCTCCTTGACCAGGTAGGCAAGCAACGGAAGTAAGCAGCAGCCGTCTCTGCTTGCCTTACTTGGGGATGGTGGCAACAATTACATCACTGGGCATAATTCCCGCCATAAACCAGAGGGCAAGGGTAGGCAGTGGCTGCTGCTTCTTGCCACCACTCACTCACCTGCCTGTTCAGACAATGCAAGAAGGAACCATCTCTGCCCACTCCATCACTCTAGGAAGAGGAGCTGCCACCACTGCAATTGGTGGCTGCACAAAGAGAGGCACAGAGGAGCACAACCCATGCACATGCGCCAAAGACCTCCTGAAACATGGGACTGGCCATGCTAGTAATGAAATTCTCCCTGTGTAGACAATTATCTCAGTGTTGGAAAAAATGTTAAGAAATAAAGCAGCCTTGAAAACCCATTTCCCCAAATTACTGATAGAACTATACCTCGCCCCTAACCCAGACTCTTCATGGAAAGAGCTTTAATAGCGAGAGCAGGCCTACCCATTAAAAGAATAAAAGAGGGAGAAGAGCAGTGGTACAGCACTCAAGTTGCATCCACAAAGTCCCAAAAACAACTGTGGGTATTTCTGGTTAAAGAATCTTAGAAGGGTTAGGAAAAGCCTTGGCCTGAACACTTAGCCATAATCAGAGTAGGTAACACTGGACAAGGTAGGCTACTAGTCTGACTCATAGTATGTTCATATACTTGTTAACAGGAACACAAGTTCAGCATCTCAAAATAGTAGGATGCCCAATGTGTCAAGAAATTGGGGGGAGGGGCTAAAGGATAGGCTACCTTCAAGTTTAAGAAATAGCTTGGAGATAACTCCTGCTGTAAGGACTAGACCCAAATATTCTGCAGTGGATGTTACACAAAAACTTTGTAATACAAGAACCGGCTTGCCAGTAATGTTTATGTGACTTACTTTAAAAAAAAAACACTGAAGTGCCACTAAAACTATATTAATACTTCTACAGCAAGGTGTGTATTGAGACTACATTACTATCCTACTTTCCATTTAGCCTTTCTGAATGTGGAATGGAATAAATAACTATTTTCTATATAAATCTGCTTCCTGCTGGAAAACATATGTCCTTGAGCATGGCCCTGCCCCCCCCCCCCACCCACCCGACCCCCCCCCCCAGCAGCGACTTTTTAAAGCTCCACCAGATGAGATCTAAATTAGCATGTAGGCAGGCTATCATAATGGCTGAGAAAGCAGCTTCTCACTGCAAGCCCCAGAGCCACATACAGTATCATGTGAGTGCTAGGAAAAGATCACAGGCAGCAAGCAGGGATGTACCTCCTCGTAGTTTTTTGCTTCCACTCCATGCTTCATGTTCAAGGTCACGAGCTGGTCTGGCATCCGCCCGGTTCCTGGAAGTGCAATGAAAGGATTCATTGTATGTAGCGCTCAGCCTGCCAGGAAATTCCCCCCCCCCCACCCCCACCCTATTAGGGAAGGATTTGCAGTTCTCCTCCCATACAAGTCCCTGGATGGCTGGAAAGGCAGCCCAGCTGTGCCTAAAAATCACAGGGGGAAAAAATCTGCAGATAGAATTGGCTGAAGGAAGAGCTCCTAAAACTAATAAGAACAAGCTGCAACTAAACATGTGAAGCATGCAGGACACAAGGCCCTGTGATTTCCTAATGCCCTCCTCTTCCCCTCCCCAGCAATAAGGAAACATACAAACCATTTGGATTCAGAACAGCTGGATGAAGATTACTTCTATTCAAATGGAAATACACACAGAAATCCAGAAAGAAGGACTGGATTGAAGAGATGAAAGAATTAGCCACAGATGAATTATTAAATCAGATGTCAGCCAGCAGACTACACTGGCATTTGGGGACAATGTACCAAGACCTATATATAGGATACACAGTGGGATAGGAGGTAGGAATGGGGGGGGGGGGGAAATTGTGTCACTGCTGTATTGAATGCCTGAACTCTCTCGTTTCCCATTTGTCCTCTTCCTCCTGATTTCTTCCTTCCCTACCAATGGCTTACAAATTACCACTAGAGCCTAGTGCTCTGGTTACCTACAGTGAGTATAAATTGCCTCCAGGCTACAAAGTCAGATCAACAATCTGTTGTATGTTTATGTGTTTTTCTTGAATTTATAATTTTAAATGTTTTTAATTGCTTTAATGTTTTAATGTTGTCATGTTCCTGACTGAGTGGAAAGGGGGCATAAAAATGTTTTGAATAAATAAATAGTCTCCTACCGGAAGCGTATTTTGAGCAAGCATCTAGTCTTTTGAGGAAATAATTTCACTGAACTGCCTCAGTTCAGCATGAAATGTGTTTTTCATTCCTGAATGACTGAGCTGGTAGTATTACCTGTCGTGGGCTTATCTTTCCTCCTGTTTACCAGCTCTTTTATGCCCCGAAGGCTTTATCATTTGGCATGACCTTCCATTTATCCTTTCTTTGTATCTGAAGGAGCTGCCCTAGCAAATTAAACGAATGTTCCCTAGACTCAATTTATTCATAGACTCTCCATTCTAAGATATGTTAGCTCGGTTGCGGTTCTTCAAGGCTTAATCCTGCCTCTGAAAGTAAGTTCTAGGGCAGTGATACTCAGTGGTGCAGGCTCTCCTGAGCAGTGCTCCCCAGAATGGCACCTGCCCCATGTTTCAGGAAAGTGGGCAAGACTCCTCTCTTGTCCAGCTTGTGGTTGGCAGGTGCTTCCAAAGCAACGGGTCAGCTGCAAACCTCTCTGAGGTGCAGGCCTCATGCCAGGGATGTACGTAACCATGGCTCTTTTGCTTGGTGCTAATTGTGACTGTAGCTCTCCACCAGTCAAATAAGAAAGTCCAAATTAAAAGAGAGCAAACAGAAAGTGAGAGCAACTTTTTAAAAGTCTCAATTACAGCCTGATCATACATATATTTACTAAGAAGCAAATCACACGGAGCATAATGTAAATTGACCTAGCACCCTTCTACCCACACAAATTAGGTCCATGCTTACATCTCATATAATACCAGCAACTCCTCTCCTTCCCCAAACCAAGAAGGATTTGTTTCATCGGAAGGTGGCAGCACAGCACAGTAGATCCAGTGTTGGGGGAGGGAAAAGAAATACAGTGTCTAGTGGAAAAGGGGGGGGGGAGTACTTCCCATGGTGCTGCTCCAACATCCAAGGTGTAGTTTTCATGCTTGTTCAACACCCCAAACACCACACCACACAATAACCAGTTTTTATGCTAGCTTTAAATGATCACTACAGCTATGCAGGCTATGTAGGCTGTAGTCACAGAACACTGGGACATTTTCATTTTACTGACAAATAATATCTATATATCTAATAGCCAAGTTGCCCCCGTGAGTGCGGATCGCTAAATCAGCGCTCTGGGGGCACTTGGGGGGGGGTTGTGCACACGTGAGCCAGTCCCCACGTGTGCACAAAAATCCAAAAAGTTGAAAAAAATTTCGGGGGGATGTTTAAATCCCCCCGAAAGTGACAGAGCGTCCCCTGCACATGCGCAGTGAACGCTCTGTAGCTGGCCTCGCCGCCTCCTCAGAGCCGGGCGGGCGGGAGGACCGGCCTCGCCGCCGCTGCCGAGCCCGACAAAGGGGGGGGAGCACCGGCCCCACGAGTATCGCGGGTCCCCCTCTTGTACTTACAAATTAAACAGCCAAAACTTTGATAAAGCTTTGGGTTCTTGGGCTAAGATGGAGGAAACAGATATAAAGAAGTGAATTTGAGCCATACTGTGCCAAACACATGGCAACAATAGCAGAAACTGACCGGACAATAGATAAAATAGCAAGAAGCCTCAGAAATCTATTCCATCACTTAGGAAACTTTTAATGGGTGGCTGGCTCAGTAAAAACAATAAATTAAAACATGGATAAACAAGCAAGATATGTTTGGCAGGAAAGTTCCTAGTATAACACACCATTGGTCCTTGCAATTTCAAAAGAGAACCATTCATACACCATGGCCAGTGGCAGTCAGGTGTCACAACAAGGTCCAATTAAGCTGAGGTGTGCTTAAACATGGCTTGCTGGCAACCCTGTGCTGCCTTTCTCTTCTCACGCAGAGCACAATTAAGGGTTCCTGGTTTGAAAGTACACCACGCTCCCACCACTAGGATTGTAAACCATGTTAAATCCAGACTGTGCCAAGTAAATAAACCGTTTCAGCTGGATTCCTGCTTTCATGGGTCTCATGAAGCCAGAGCTTGTTTCAAACAAGAAATCCTTAATCATGCTTTGTATGAATGGGGTGGGTGTGTGGGTGCTCATCCAAGCCCCTGCGCTCCTGCACTAACTCAGGTTAACTGGAGCTTATGGTGACATCTGAACATAGCCTCTCTCTTGCCTGAACAAGTTCCACCATCATTGCAAAATGAGCTGCCCTACAATTCAAACACAGGATTTATATGAAAACTAGTTTGCACAACCTTCTTGCACAAACCTTGCCCACAGCTAACCTGAGAGCAATGGGTGGTGTAAAAACAGGGCCAATGCATACATACTGATGAGGCAACCTGAAGTTCTTGCCACTTTAGTTGTGAATTTGCTTCACCTTAACTCCCATTTGACCCAGGAATTCAGCAAAATCTATTCCCAGAATTTGGAGGATTGAAATTCACAGATAAAAATCAGATCAGATTTACTAGTTCAACTATCCAGTGGTAAAAGGTGCTTGATCCTTATTAATAAAACATACATATAACTTAGGCCAAGGTTTGTTGAAAGCAGTACAAAACAATTTCAAATTATATGTACAGTGTGACAGACCTTTAAGAAAGATTCACACAACTTCAGGCAAGCCCAAACCAGAAGAAATACAAAGAACGGAATGTTCTATATTTAACTCCAAAAATGTGGCTGTTATTAAAAAGAAATGTTTACACTTTAGTTAACTTTAAAAGGAATTCTGGCCTAAATTCTGGCCTAAAACTACACAATTAGCAGATGACCCAACAAAAATATCTGGCATGTGCAATTTTCCTTCTTGGGTCTTCTGCACATAGTTGCAAGAGACTGGAACACCTACAAACAGAGAACTGCTAATGCACCATCTTGGGTTCCAAGAGCAAAATGACGCAAGAGAACAGCTCTCTGCTAGCTGTAAAATCATTAAGAGGCGCTCCCTGTCTGGCATGCTGACTTTTCCCTTTGCAGAGGGCTCTGAGCAAAACACAGTGCCTTTCACTTCCTCTTCCCTATTTTTGTGGATAAGTGCTTGAGAAATCCCAGTTACTCTGGTCCCACCTGGCCCAACGGCCCAAATGTCTGTTGTCATGGATCTGCCTTCCCAAGGCAGATGCAACCGTACAACTATTGCTGCCACAGCATCCTCTCAGTAGCAGATCAAAAAATTCACAGCACCACGAAGAGGTGAATGAGTAAGCTGCTTGGGGTGAAATTCCTCAGAATGTGACACTCCTAATCAACTTGACCTTTTTAGAAGGTCAGCTCCACAGACAGGATCAGTCTGAATTTATGGCAAAGCCACCATACACCATTCCTACCTTCTTAGTTTAAAGCTTTCTAGAAGCAAACTTTCAAGTACAAAAATCATGTAGCTAACAGCATAATATACTATATGCACAGGCTATGCTCAATGCCAAAACTCTGCAGCGTAGAAGCTGCAGGGGAGGAAAAGCCAGTATAAATGGCACTGAGTACAAACTACAGCACAGATTACTGGCACAGCTTGGAGGCAATGGGTGCTCAGCTCAACTTGATCACCTCTATGGAGACTGGATTGGATCAAGTAGGTAAGCAGCAATCAAGTGGTAATAGGCTCCATAAACAAGCAATTATGGCCAGCAATGAAGAATTTATGATCACTGGGATATCTATAACTTCTGTCAGCTGCAGGAATGCCTATACTTAGGGAGAAATAGCTCTGATGCTAATCAGCACAGGCTCTGAACCATACCTAATTCTCTTAGTAAACCATCCATGGCAATCCAGATGGCAAAAAGAACTGTTATGTAACTGAAGGGTGTTCCTACTTATATAGGCTCTATTATGTGGCACTACAATGAGGAAGACATTACTAATGTATGAAACACAAATGCACACTTGGGGCATGGGCAATTCAGTGACACTCCTTCAAATGGCAAAGCACACTCAAATGAACATTCCCATGAAATCCAGATTCTGTTCCCATAAAGTATGCAATCTCAGTAAAGGGGGCTCCTATCCTCCAAAGGACCATAATGCATTGCACACCAATGGAGTACACTGTACAAAGTTTAGGACATTCAATGTCACTATCCTACCCAGGTACTTTGTGGGATTACAATATAGAAATCATATGGCCTGGGAGCTCGAGGTGAGACACAGAGAAAATGTAATTTTTGGAAAAGCCTCAGCAAGAAGCAAAGGCTGCTCATTAACAACATTAGATGTATGGGATATTCACCCTGAACTTCAACTGAAATATGCCACAGGAAGAAGGGCAAATGCATCACTTCCACAGGAAGTGTCAGGAACAGGATTTGTTAGGCAATTGTCCCCAAGGTTTCGTATGCCACGAACATACTGCACACTTCCCTCTTCTTTCTGTCAAGACAAAATGCACCAATGCAAGGGTTTTTTTGGCTGCTATAGCCATGTACGCTAGCAAACAATTAAGAGATCATGTTCCGCCTTCAAGGACTAGACAGTGCACCAGTGCTGGAATAGGGATACAACAGTGAGTGACTCCAGACTAACCTCCAGACGGACATTCCACAAAGCAAAAGAATGAGTGGCAAGGGGCAAACAGGATCTTCCCCCTTGCATGTACAGAAGAATGCAATGTAAAGAGGGAGGGGTCCCATTTGTGCATGGCTCGTGTAAAAGGAGCAAAGGCATCACCTTCAGAAGAAGTCAGAATTAGCACAGCCAATGATGCCCCCCTTTTGCCTCCACTGTCTGCTGACTGGGTATATGGAGGGGAAAGTTGGCTGTGCCCACCCCATGCCATTTTGAGTGTGTGCAGACAGATCTTTTGTGATTTTAGGCACTCTTTCCAATAAAATTCCAGCAGGATTGCATATCTTCATCTGATGCGAAAGACATCAAAGGGTTTCCTTCATCCAGAGATTTATTTATTTATTTTTGTTGCATTTGTATTCCACCTTTCCCACAAGCAGGCTCAGGGCGAGTGACATCAAAATTTCATCAGCCTTACAGTCACAGTTGTCAAATATTAAAACATTAAATTTAAAACAAATTTAGATTAAAATTTATGCTTCTGTCACAGCCACAAGTGCCCTTCTGGGATCATGTTCACCTTGGGCCTCACCCTACATTACAGTCTAATTCTGATTTCACCACTGCTCAAAATGCAAGCACTTCTGGGAAGGAATGCAGCAACTGGCTTTCACCAGGAACATTAGGAAATGAATCTCCTGGGATTAAATGCTCTCTTGCAGTCCAAATGATGCCAAGCCCTTGGCAAAAGCAAGCACCCTTGGCTCAGAGCCAAATGTCATTCTCTTAAAATGTACTCAAAAGAGAGAAGACAAAGAAGAGACAAGGCAGGCCAGGAGCATCTAACTGGGCCTTTTCACACTTACCCACAGGAAGCTTGCTCTCGAAGCAGGCCTCAAACATGTCATAGTCCTCTGTGGTGAAAGCAAATTTGCCTTTAGTGGCATCCTCCTTGGCATAGAGTGTGTGCCCAGCCGAATCAGTAATCTGCAGCAGCAATGAAAAGTAGGAAAAGCAACCCGGTTAATAAGGCATTTCTAAAACATTGGGGGGAGCTGCGGTGGCTCAAGTAGTTAAGACGCTGAACTGCAGGCTGTGGAAGGTCGGTAGTTCAGCAGTTCGAGACCCGAGTGTGCCGCATGACGGAGTGAGCTCCTGTCTCTAGTTCCAGCTCCTGCCAACCTAGCAGTTCGAAAGCAAGAAATTGCAAGTAGATAAATAGGTACCACTTCATTGGGAAGGTAACAGCGTTCCGTGCGCCTTGGTGTTTAGTCATGCCGGCCACATGACCACAGAAATGTCTTCGGACAGCGCTGGCTCTTTGGCTTTGAAACGGAGATGAGCATCGCAACCCTAGAGTTGGATTTGACTGGCTTTCAAGCAAGGGAACCTTTACCTTTTTTTACTTTAAAACACTGGGGATACTTCATTTCTGTGCTTCCCTTGCCCCAATTATAGATGAAAAGGTGATTTCCACTTCAATTTTAAATTTCAGATCAATTAATGTTGTCAAAAATGCCTCTGCCAGATTCGCTTCTTACATATTAACTTGAAAGCATTCCCATACAAGCATTCACTGAAACAGAAGGGAAATTCTGCCTTCTTTAAAAGGGGGGGGGTAGACTAAGGAGTGGGATAGGACTCTGTCACAAAATGGGCATTTACTCAACTAGCTGAAAATTAATAGTAGGTTCTAAGAACAACAAGCTATGAGTTACACTAACCAGACAACAATTGCATAATTGAAACCAATTATTCAAGGAGATGCTACATTTGCACTTTTAACAAACAAAGCAGGCTTTACAGAATCACTGGAAGCATATTAATAGCATAGGTCTCATTTATTAGAGGATTACTAAGTGTGTTTTTTGTACAGAGAAGGCACCGATCAGACACAGCAAATTCTTTCCCAACATCAGCTGAAATATGCCCAGAAGCAGTTCTTAGATCAGGTCAGCTCTGTTTTCTTTTGGCACCAAATGACTGTTGCCGATATTTGGCACCAAATGACCGTTGCCGATATACAGCCAGGAACACTGCCCGCAAAACTAAGCACATGAAGGGCAAATTGTGAAGAGTCAGCCTACACAATTGTGGGGGAGCAACCAGTCTGAAAGATGTTCCACAATGCTCCAGCATTATGTGCAGTAACATCCTCCTCCACAAGTACAGCTCTTTTCCCCACACTGCTGGCCTGAACAATAAGAGCCCACATGTGACTGGGATCAAGTGGGATGACAGCCATTAAAGAACCTCCAGTGTGAAGTCAACTGGCACATTTGGTACATTCCTCCAGAACAGAAAGCTTAACTGTTAGTGCCAAGATGTCACAATCAGAGAGCAAACAACACAGCAATGAGCTACTGTGAAGACAACAAAAATGGCATGCTGACAAAGAACAATTATGAAAATTTTAATCCCAGCCAGAAGCTGCTCTGAACATATGGTGCTCTGGACAAGTGAATTCATACAGCACTTGTTTCTGAAAAGAAAACTAAATGTAATCACTAGGTTAACCTGGTTACTTAGCTGTAACAGACAAACACTTCTTTGAGTTGTCCTCAAATCATCTGCCTTGAGAAATGTCATTTCTGATCAGCAGGCACTATGGATGCTCTGGAGATACTAGCAAGTAGGTACCAAAGTCAAGATCCAACCACAGATTCCTAACCTGTGGTGTAGAGAACTCAATGTACCAGTGTAGCCATCTGCAGGATGTGAATTTCAAAACAAGACTAAGCTTTCACCTACCAACATTATGGAGTATCCCTAGGCTATGTGTATTTGAGCAGGGATGATGTATTGCCATAGTAATGATTTAGATTATAAATTCTCAGGGGTAACCAGGGCTCTAGTCGGGGGGGAGCTCCCAGGTACGGAGCTCCGGAAGAGAACCTCTAGGGGGTGGGGCGGTCACGTGGTGAAGCCCCGCCCCCTTCTTTACCCCGCCCTCTGCTTCGATCCTCATTCCGTTTGGGAATGAGGATGAAGCAGGAGGGTAAGTAGCCGGGCCTTCTGACACACTTCCGGTGATGTCAGGGGGTGTGGCCTTCTGTCACTTCCGGTGATGTCAGGGGGCGTGGCATATGCAAATAAGTTATGCTAATGAGTTATGCTAATGAGCTCCGGCAGCTCTTTTTCTACAACAAGACCCCTGGGGGTAACCATGTTAGGCTTATGCAGCAGAAATGAAAAGGAGGAGCCATGTAACATCTTAAAAAGACTAACACATTTTCATTTTCGCATACAAGTCTGTGAACTAGAGATGCATGGTGCAGAGTGTCTTGAAGAGTGTGCAGAAGCTACAGCTGGTATAGAATGTGGCAGCCAGAATGTTGACTGGGGTGGGTCGTAGGTACCATATCACTCCAGTCTTGTTCCGCCTGTCACCAGAATACCTGAAGGACCACCTACTCCCATACAAGCCTACCCGACACTCTGTTCATCTTCAGAGGACCTGTTTCAGATACAAATATGTATATGTATGTGCATGAGTGTGTGCATTTTAAATGCTGTTTTAATGTTATGGTTATTTGCTGCCTTAGGGTCCTAAATTGGGTGGAAAACAGCATACAAATGTTTAATTTAAAAATGTACATTTGGTGAAATGAGTTCTAATTCAGAAAGCTTATGTCAAAATTGATTGACTGATTTTTGTAAACACTACTTTAGCCTGAAAACTGTTGTTTTAAATTGTCTGGGTCTTTTCCTATAATTATGGTTTTATGCCGGAATGAGGCTTTTTTAATGCTGGATTTTACTTACTATCTTTTAATGCTTTGTTTTTTGTTACTTTTTTTGGTATGCTACCTCTGGCAGGTTTCTGGAGAGGCAGCATTAAAATGTTCCAAATAAATAGGAACTCTCAGACTGGGGCAAGTGATAGATAGGAACTCTCAGACTGGGGCAAGTGATGCTCTGTATTCTTGGTGCTTGTGGTGGGGAGACAGTGGGAGGGCTTCTAGTGTCCTGGCCCCACTGCTGGACCTCCTGATGGCACCTGTGTGACAGAGTGTTGGATTAGATGGGCCATTGGCCTGATCCAACATTGCCTTCTCTTATGTTCTTAACACAAATAAAAATAGGTCTTGAAGGTGCCACAACAATCCTAAAAATTTAGGTTATTACTGAACCTAAGTTGCAAAGAATAAACAACCTTAATACCATTCACGCATACATATATATATACCCTCTACTGCTATCTAAGGTTTTGGAAGAAGGTTAGTGCCCATTGTGGAAAAGTTTTTTTAAAAGTCCTATGACAGAGAGAAAGAGATGTGCATGCAAAGATTAGGACACTAACCTCACAAAAACTGAGGGGGAGATCAATCTACCACCATCAAGCTACTGAAAGCGTTTTGTACACATTAAACTGTTTCATTTTCAGTGTTTTTCTGGCTTTAAAATCATGGTTTGGAATAGGAGTTACCAACCTTTTATTTAATAACAGCTGCTTCTGAATAATTTACTGAACTATTCTCTCTCTCCCAGCAAGTTACCAAATTTTGTTCTGTCCTAGAAACAGAATACTGAATAGGAAGTAAACAAGAAATGAAGACACCAGCTAAGAAGCAGACATTTTTGTGATATTTACTTGAGTCCTCTAGTCTAGGGGGTTCACAAGCTATTCAGCTTCAGCACCCAGCTCATAAGCTAACTGTTGAAAATCCTAGAACAGGGATGCCCAATGTGGTGCCCATGGGCACCTGCCAACACCTTCCCTGGTGCCTGCCGAGTGTTTTTAAAATGTGGGAGGGACCAGGTGGGATTTTTGTTCAGCAAGGCTTCTGACTGCCCTTCAGAAACTTGATCGGCTGGTGCAGATTGTTAAAAATCTTGATCTGCAGCAGCTACCACTACAGCACAAGGATCTTCACTGTGTGAGTGAAGGTAAGCTGTATCAGCCATTTTGTGGCTAGCTCCACTTTCTGCAGCAGCAATTTTGTGGCTGTACCCAGCACAAGCCGAGTGCCGAGCACCGAAAAATAGATTCTTTTGAACTATGGTGCTGGAGAAGACTCTTGAGAGTCCCTTGGACTGCAAGGAGATCAAATCAGTCAATTCTAAAAGAAATCAACCCTGACTGTTCCCTGGAAGGCCAGATACTGAAGCTGAAGCTCAAATACTTTGGCCACCCAATGAGAAGAGAGCACTCACTGGAGAAGACCCTGATGCTGGGAAAGATTGAAGGTCAAAGAAGATGGGGACGGCAAAGGATGAGATGGTTAGACAGTGTCATAGATGCAACGAACATGAAATTGAGCAAACTTCAGAGGACGGCAGAAGACAGGAGGGCCTGGCGTGATCTGGTCCATGGGGTCGCGAAGAGTTGGACTCGACTGTGCGACTGAACAACAACAACAACCCAGCACAGTGTCAGAACTCCAAAGATGCCCACAGGCTTACAAAGGTTGGGGACCCTGCCCTAGGACTTTCCAGAATGAGAAGCAGTTCTGCTTTTCAAGATTAGAATCAACCTATATGAACAGAAGATTGTGCATGAAGCCTGTTGCTGATCTACCATTTGTCCAATCTGGACCCTCCTTCGATTATTAAAGAAGAAATGCCATGGGGGGGGGGATGGCATGCATCAGACAAAGTCATTACCTACAAACAGACAACTCTGACAATATATGGGACCCGTGTGGTGCAACACTAGACAGGATGTTGGGTTTGGTCCTAGAACAGCATGGCTCAATCATTATTTTTTTAGCCCAAATAAAATTGTAGTCCAGTGGCACCCTAAAGACTAACCAAATTGATTTGAGCATATGCTTCCATGAGTCAGAACTCATTTCATGAGATGCACAAAGAGTTCAGCCATCAGGCAGACAAGACAAAGGTGTGTGCATATTAGGTATTAAAAATAAGTCCAGTTTAAACCAATATCCAATCAAACAAGTAACTAATCCACTCAGAGTGGATGAGGACCACTTCAAAGTGTTGATAGATACACAAAGGAGAAGAATTAATATAAAACAGGTCTAGTGCAAGGTAAGACTAGAGTTTGGGTAGGCAATCCTTTTGGACCAAGTGCTGAAAAACAGGTAATGTCTATTTGTGAAAATGATGGTGCGTCAGCAAACAAAATGGCATGTATACCAGGGGTTGCCTACCCCAAGTATAGCTGAACTAATTAACATCTGTAAAGATATACTTAGATATTAGCATCTATACTGAGTAAGAAATGCCACATTTATTTATTTATTTGGATTTGTATCCCGCCCTCCCCGCGAATGGGCTCAGGGCGGGTAACAACAATATAAAATACAACATATTTAAAACCAAATTAAAACAACAGTATACAATGTCATACTCCTAAGTACCATGTCAGCTCAGATAGAAACATATCAGCAGTGGTGAAAGAGTTAAGATGTCAGGGTCCAGGCCACTGGTGGGGTTGGCCACAAAAAGGGGAGACTGCTGCCTCAACCAAAAGCCTGGCGGAAGAGCTCCATCTTACAGGCCCTGTGGAATTGTAGTAAATCTCACTCGGGAGCTCATTCCACCAGGTAGGGGCCAGGGCCGAAGGCAAGTCAGAGGTCCCTGGGGCCAGGGACTACCAAAAGATGTTGATTAGTTTACCTTAGTGCTCTACGGGGCTCATATGGGGAGAGGCAGTCTCGAAGGTATGCTGGCCCCTGACTGTATAGGGCAGTGATGGCGAACCTTTTAGAGACCGAGTGCCCAAACTGCGACCCAAAACCCACTTATTTATCGCAATGTGCCAACACGGCAATTTAACCTGAATACTGAGGTTTTACTTTAGAAAAAACAACTCATACATTAACTTAAGATGATCCAAACAAAGTAAGGAAAGCAATCCCAAATGCTTTCATTTACTTAAAATTAGTTGGCAGAGAATTCAACACTGATGATCTGGGCCTGGCTGGGGTGATGGCACACATGCCTGCTGAGAGGGCTCTGAGTACCACCTCTGGTACCCGTGCCATAGGTTCGCTACCACTGGTATAGGGCATCCTTGTTGAGGCCTGGCAGGGTGGTAGCCTGAACTTCCTGATGATTGCTAGTTCAACCATTTCCCATTTGATTCTCTATGAACACTTCGTAACTGAACATGAGCTCTGACTCATGAAACCTTATGGTGGAATAAATTTTGTTGGTCTTTAAGGTGCTCCGGGACTTGTTTCATTTTGTTGCCACAAACTAACTAGCTACCCCCATCTGGAATTACCTTTTGAGTTGAGAAGCTCCTCAGGGGCACCAAGGACCATTCTCTCTAAACTTAAAACTTCCCTACAGAATTACTGAGGGGATGAATGAGTTGCAAAGTACACAGACCTCTGAGAAGGGCTACAACAATTTTTTCATTGTAAACTGCCTGAAGCAAAGAGAGACAGAGAATATAATTTGTTAAATTATACACCAGAAAATCTGTTTTTAAAAGCAGCCTAATTTAGCCTTCCCCTCCACCAACATGTATCCAGGATTTTCTTCTCCATTCCACATTACTGACTGCTAGCAAGGGAACATACAACATACTAACATATGAAATAGGGTAAATTGAACTAGGTGTAACAGGTACAATGAAAGCTCAAAATGAAGCTACAATTTTCAGCACAACCACCCCTGGTTCTTTGTAACAAGATGTTTCATCCTTATATACAAGGCCACAGGTAGCTGTTCCGGATTTTCACAACACTGATGGCAGTGTCTTTGTAGCATTACCTCCATTTCACAATCTTATCACTAGAGATGCCCACCCACTCCTTTACAAAACAGAAAACCTCTGGGACACATCTTGCCTCTAAGTGCACTAGGTGGCTTTGGGCGAACTCCTCTCTCTCAACCCCTCATCGGCACTATGACGATAATACTGGCCCATTTTAATCTTTTTAGTAAAATGTTGCTATAGCGCTAAAAAGGACTGTACAAAAGCTAAGTGTCAATACTCAACAAGCAACCTCACAATCGTTCTCCTGTATTCTCTGTGAACTCCCGCTTTTATCTGGGTTGAAACTCCCCAGGCCACTAATTTCTCTTCACGCGTGTTAAAAACTCTAAAGTTGAAGCTGCTACGCGGATGTAAAGGCCTAACGTGGAAAACAAACGGGAGGAATGGGAAGGAGGAGGGAATCAAGAGGGACAAATGAGGAGAGCCGACAGCAAGATTCACGGAGAGCGCTCCAAAAATGGAAGGCAACCTGTTGCACGGGAGACCAGGAAAAGCAGCCCGAGTGGGCGCCTGGCGTCACTCTGCGCCCCATTCAGTCCCCGCGAACACACACAAGCGAGGGCTGGGCCTATTTCCTCCTTCCGCATGTCAGCCTTATCAGGAGATGCAAGCCGGGCTGACGTGTCCCAAGAAGCGGAAGGGCCGGGAAGGCCAAACAGTGGTCGATAACAAACGGCTGAGAAAGCCCACGCACCGCCTCCGGACACGGCTCCACGCCCACCGGCGGCTGGGAAACGCGGGGCAGCGCACGACGAGGGTAACAGGCGCGCTCTCTCCCGCCTCGCTCAGGCGAAAAGGCGTGCCTCTCACGCCTCCTGGACACCCCCGTCTCCCCGATCCCGCCACCTCCCTCCCTCCCGGTCCCCCACGCTGCTCGCTGCCTGGCACCTTTAGATCGGCAGACGGGCCGGTAGCCGAGCCCGGCGGCGGGGCGACCTCGTACTCGCCGGTGACCAGCGTGTCGCGGTGGATCTCCTCCCGTAGGCATTTGCGGGCTTTGCCCGGCAGCTGAAAGGAGATGGGCCGCACGGAGCCCGGCAGCAGGAGGAGGAGAAGGAAGAGAGGCAAGAGGAGCGGGACGAAGGCCGGCCTGACACGGGGGCGGCCGCCGGGCTCCGAGAGCAACAGCATGGCGGCTGGTCCGACAGACCGACGCAGGCCGGGCTTTCTGTCTCCGCCCCGGCCCGTACCACGTGACCTGGCGTGGCTTGCGTGAGGCAGGGAAGGCGGCATTGCAGGCCTGAGGCCTCTGCGCGAACGCCGGGGGTGGCTGAGGCTGAGCGCGGAGGAGTTCGCATTAGGACCCCCTCCCCCGCCGTGGGGTGTCTCAAACGGGGCGGGGAAGAGTGTGCAAATCAGGACGTTGCCTCAGTGTCTGTCCCGGCCGGAGCCCTGAAGCGAAGCGATAAGAATGAAAAAAGTTTGTCTTTTCTAAAATCGGGGGTGGTTGTGTGACCCGGAGTAAATACACACGAAGTGAAACCACAAATCTCAGTAAAAGATTTCATGTTTTTAGGGTCACCAAACTAAAACTGCCCGCTACAGCATCCTGCGCCTAAAGCTGTAAATAGAAATACACAGAAGCCCAGTGACACCTTGAAGACTAACAAAAGTATTCCAGAAAGTTATTCCTTTAAGGTGACATTGATTTTCTATTCAGTCATGCTATGGCATTCCCACGATTGCATACTGAGCTCTTCTTGCAGTAGAGCAATTACATTCTCTATGTAGACAAGACAAGTCCAGTTATGAATGATTGTTTTGACATGGAGAGCACAATATGCAATTATGTGTCAATGCAGCCTATTCTGGATACTCTTCTGGATTTACAATTCTGAAATTATAACACAGTTTGAGTCCAGTGGCACCTTTTAAGACCAACTAAGTTTAATTCTGGGTATAAGCTTTTGTGTGCAGGCGCACTTCACCAGATGCACACAAAAGCTTATACTCAGAATTAAACTTAGTTGGTCTTAAAGGTGTCACTGGACTCAAACTTTATACTGTTGCTTCAGACCAACACAGCTACCCACCTGAATTCTAAAATGTGTTTGTGAGATCAGTGAGGCTTTGTCCAGTAGCTGTTGTCCAGTTGCAATGTGTTTAGGGGAAACAGAGAGGTTCAACCTCTGATTGACAGATGCTACAGAGCAGTAATCAGGTGAGGGCTGTTGTTTGGTGTGAGAGCCAGTTTGGTGTAGTGGTTAAGTGCGTGGACTCTAATCTGGGAGAACCGGCTTTGATTTCCCCACTCCTCCACTTGCACCCAGCTGGATGACCTTGGGTTGATTTCTGATAAGAGCTGTTCTTGAAAAAGAGCAGTTTCTGTCAGAGCTCTAACAGTCCCACCTACCTCACAGGGTGTCTGTTGTGGGGAGGGGAAGGGAAAGGAGTTTTTAAAGCTGCTCTGAGACACCTTTGGGTGGTGAAGGGCGGGGTAAAAATCCAATCTCTTCTTCTTTCATGGCCACTGTTTGAAATAGGGTGCTAGATTAGATGGACCATTCCCAAAAGACTGTTAAAACTTTTAATGACTCTTTACTCGGGAAATGTGGCACATGTCAAGCTAAATAACAAAGACCTTGTGTCCAAGTCAATAGGAATTCACAGAAGGGTACGACAAGGGTGTGTTCTTGCTCCACATCTATTTAATTTATATTTGAATTACTTTGTTTCTAGACGTCAAACTATATCTACCCATGCACATTATATTGGATCATATTCGGTACCAGCTATGCTATATGCAGATGACTTCGTTCTGATATCGAGGACGCGCATTGGGTTGAAATGTGCAATAAGAACCTAAATCTAAAATAATGATTTTTACTAAATCATCTAAAAGACAAAGTAAGGAATGGAAAATAGGAGCTTATAAATTCCAGCAGGTTGATGAATTTAAATATTTAGGTATCATATTCCAACTAAACCTGAAATGGACCAAGCACGTCCATTATCTTAAAGGGAAAGTTGATCTAGCATTATTGGCACTTAAAAAAATTTTTTACACCCAAGGTGCCCAATACGTTCTGGCTCTTCTGAAAGCATATCGAGCCTTAATCTTACCCTGTATTTTATACGGCTCCCCAATATGGTTCACAGGTCTGGTAGACCTTTTGGGGAAAAAATCAACATTTTTGTAAAATGTTGTCTCTGCCACCATCTATCACTTCCTCAGTGATACGTTTAGAGTTAGGGTTACCAAAGATCTCGACCTTGATTTGGAAAGCTATAAATATAGGTTGTTGACTGCTGAAAATCTTTCGACCTTGACTTCCTTATCAGTACAAGATCAACATTAGCAAGGATGCTGTGGACACAAAATTTAAACAACTAGGCATACATAAAACTGGGAACTTAATGTCTAAAATTAGAATGGTGCTCAACAAAAAATTAATGGAGCACGACTGGAATGCATTACAAAAGGACACCACACGGAAATGCTCACCACTTTATGTGGGGATTAAATACTCCATCAAATTTGACATACCACATTATTTATATGTACTATTTGTTCCTAAATTGAGAAGAGCATATATGGTGGCATGCTGCAATGCATTCCCATCTGCACAGATGAAGGGTCGTTTTCAGGGCATCCCAGCAAGTCAACTCTACTGCATCTGCCCATTAACAACTGTAGACTCACTTGCCCATATATTTTTCTGTTGCCCAAAACATGCAGTTGCAAGAGAAAAGTTCCTGAGGAGATGGCTATTAAAATTTTCTTCCTTTTCGGAATCTACAAGGTTGAGACTTCTGCTGAATACTCTGTGCAATAACTGTATAATAGATGTGGCACATTTCTGTTATACTGTCTTTTTAAATGTTTAAAATCTTTAAAGTTTAAATTATTTTTTATGGTGTATGGCCTATAGCTTTAAACCTAATAAACTGAAACTGATTAGATGGAGATCTAGCATTGCTGTTTGTAGGTTCTTTATAAACATATAGGTATATCCTAGCTTACAGTCCCCTTTGCAGTACTGTCAGCAAAGTTTCCACCCCAACATACTTTTGGCAGCCAAAAGCACACTGGTGACTACATGATTCCTGTGGCTGAGAGAGTTCATAGTTGCATGTATTATGGAAGTATTCTCATGGTTATGTGACATTTTGTGCTTCTGTTAAACACAACCTTATTAAAGACCAAATATTCTGACAACCAGACACAGAGATATTATAAGTTGTAATAGTGTTGGTAATTAAATAATCAAGAAGGAATTAGTGATTGCCAACTTAGAGACCAGAGCACCTCTTGTTTAACCAACTGCCTGCTGCTACAGCAAGCCTGCCTTACCACCAGTAAAGCAGACTTGGCTACTTATTACAGTAGGCAGAAGAGAGCTATATAGGAAAGGCATGCCACAAAATGACGACAGGAATCACTGTTCTTGATTAGTATCTGACTCCTTCAGAAGGCTGTGTGGTAAAATATGTGCCACTACCAGTTTTCATCTTTCATCTAATGCTGCATCATTACTTATACCTTACACATGGTGTCCTCTCATTTTGTACATGTAGCCTGTGTGTTTAAAATTAAATCAAGATATAATTAAGAAAAATAAACTGAAGATTTATGCTAGCACATAGTATGTTTTCTTGTATAATAAATTTTTGTTGTGGCTCTGGATCAGTTCACTCATGACATAGGGATATGGATTATAGATGAGACATGAGAGGAACAAGCCCTATGTTCATAACTCTCACCTATACCAAGTATAGGACCTTTAATAAAACCGCAATGTACCTAAACACTTATATAAGTAAGCCCCCCCTCAATATTATCTTTTCATGTGGCATCAAGATGTGGCAAGAAATTAAAAAAGAAGGGAAGGAGATACAATGGTGGATATACTTTCAAATTGTTTCCAGGTTAAAAAATGATATCTGCACTAAGAGAGGCGCTATGAATGAACGGACTGATTTTGAGAAGATTGTCTCACAATCTAAAGACCATTTATTAGGACGAATTCACAAGCTATTGCTTCAATATGATTCCGAAGGAGAACAGGTTACACCCTGCATGATCAAATGGATGCAAAATTTTGGTGAGGAAATACAGTTTCAATGTTGGAAAAACCTATGGATTAAAGGTAATAGATTCACAGCTAGTCAAGCAGTAAGAGAAAACTGGTACACGATGTTTTATCGATGGTATGTCACCCCAAAAGATATTGCTAAGATGGACGAGAATTAGAAAGGGGCTTGCTAGAAATGTAAAAAAGAAGATGGCACCTTTTTATCATATGTGGTGGACCTGCATTAAGATGAAAAGATATTGGGGAAACACATGAAAAAATTCAAGATATTTTAAAAACTAAATTCCCAATGAAACCTGAGACTATGTTACTAGGAATCCTTCCAGATAATATAGACAGAACCTCACAAGACCTACTTTGATATATGTTGACAGCTGCAGGGCTTTTTTTTGTAGAAAAAGCCCAGCAGGAACTCATTAGCATAACAGGCCACACCCAACAGCAGAAACTAATTAGCATGTTAGGCCACACCCCACAGCTGTGGGGAGCCCGGGCAAAGCTGGCCCTTGGACAGGCCGGGGAAGGTATGGCGAGGCATTTAAATGCCTTCCCGATCCTTCCAGCCCCCCCCCCCCTGCCCGCCTCAGAGTCGCCGGGGGGTCGCTCTCCAGGCCTTTCCTCTGTAGCCATGCATGCAGAGGTTTTGGCTGTAGTGGGCGTGGCCAACTCTGAAGCCAGCTGGAACTCCATTCCTGTGCGTTCCTGCCCCAAAATAGTTCTGGACAGCTGCCAGAATAATATTTGCAATGAAATGCAAGACAGAAGAGTGTCCTACATTAGAGATCTGGGAAGGAAAACTAGCTGAGTATGCGACACTGGCAAAGTTAGCCAATTATATAAACAAAAGACCATTGAATGAATTTTGGCAGAAATGGCAAGCTTATTACCCATATTATGGGAATAGTTAACTTTTTTCTTTTTTCGTTCTGGAATTATTTGAATATCACATTAAAGATTATGAAGATATTGATTATAATTTCAATATTTTATTTTGTATTCCATTAATATTTAAAGAATCAGTAAGAATAAAATTCAGATTTAGATAAACAATTAAGACAATATTTAGGTTTTTAGTACAGAAGTCCGTTCAACTGTTAAAGATATGTTCTCTTTTATCATTAATGTATTATTGCTAATTTTAGGATTTTGTTTATTCCTTAAAGAGATAATCTAACCCAAAATTCTGTAAAATTGATGTTTTATTGTTTCTAT